GTAAGTACTGTGCTTCAAATGTTTCTCTCTATCCGCATTTCACTTCTCCCAGTGCCTACAAGTTGTGGATGATAAGAGCAACTCTGAGGAATGTGCATGCTGAAACCCAAAGCTGCTTTTCATGTTATGTTTTGCATTTATTTTATTAGCTCGATGTGATTTGGTGCTGCTGTGTAAAGTAATGCATTGACAAGAGGTTTTTTTAAGGGCCCCCACCTTGGTGTAGACTAGTCTCGAGAAGAGAGAGGAGTAGGAGGAGGAGGGGAATAAGCGTGGGTGGATCGGAAACATTTTCTGAAAGGATCTGAAGCGAGAGAGCAGGCCCTGTTGCAGCGTAACTTAGAAACTCAAACACGCCCCGAAGTTACACCTTTTATAAATACACAAAACAGCGGCCAGCTCACGCACCTCTTGTTTGTGAGTTGTTCAGTAAAAGAGAAAACCCCCACGGCGTTTTACAGAGGCAATTTCGTGTCGTTATTTGGCCACATCTGTGTGTTTGCTCCCAACCGAAGGGGGAAGTCTCACAGGATATGAGATATCCGATATGCCTCATCCGCCATCTCTTTCTCAATCGCCCTCATTTGCATAGCCTACCGCGCTCCATTCATAAAAACAAATACCCAATGTAAACTACGGCTTGCCCTGAACTAAATAGGCTACAAGTCTTTTTGTGTAAGATCACGTATCGTGCTGGTGCTTCATAAGAAATGAAGCTATTACAGATCCGTGCAAAGTGTAGGCCCACAGTCCTGTTTAAACGGCACCCATAGGCCTATATGGAAGCGCTTGAAGCTTAAAATTAGCTTCACCCAGAAGGAACTGTAGCTTAGTCTGACTTACATTCAACACTCTCGGTGTGCTTATAGCTGCACTCAAGTGAAAACAACCACGATTAAAACATTTCTACGTAGCAGAAGAGCCGAAAGCAACCTCTTGTGCAGACATTTAAGCAGGCGTGCCAGCACCATTTACATTATTGGCTCCCAGTTGTTGTTTTTTTACAACTCCATTAGCCTATATCGACAGCTCCTGCCTGACAGACTGCACGGGGCTGTGCTCGGGAGGAATGCCTGCCTTGCAGATCTCTGTTGGCGGGGGTGGAAGGGCGAAGGGCACCGGAGGGGATGTTTGCGCTGCTGTGGCGTGACGCCGGCTCATTCATAAAAGCCGGGCTGTAACCTTCAGCCTGTCCCCATTCATGCGGATGGCGGCAGCCGGCGCACAGAGGCGGTGTGTCACAGGGACAGCAGCCACGGCCGGTAGGCTTTTCTCGTGGCGTGCTGTGCAAATTGGACCACGCCTACGACGTTGTGTGACTTCCGTTTACAAAACAAACGCGTTTTGTCCCTCTTAAAGCTAATATGTAGTTAAATAATTTGTTTTAAAATGTCTTCCTAAGGGCCAATATCGTGACATGAGACTAGATATCACAATATATTTTTGGATATCGCAATATCGTGATCCTTTGGTTGCATTTCAGTAATGTAGTCCTAAGTAATTTTCTGAATCAAACCAAACTTTTTGAGCTTTTTCATAATTTGCCTGCTCATGGGTATTAGACTTCCGTTTACAAAACAAAAGCTATTAGTTTGTTATAGCTAATAAAGAATTTGGTTAAAAATGTATTCCCAAGGTGATATGATATATCAATATCGTGACATGAGACTTGATATCACAATATATTTTGGATATCACAATATCGTGACCCTTTGGCTGCATTTCAGTGATGTAGGCCAAATCTAATTTTATAAATCAACCAAACTTTGTTTGCTTTTTCATCATTTGCCTGGTCATGGGTAATAGACTTCCATTTACAAAACACATGTAGGCCTATGTTGTCCTCCTTATGGCTAATATGTATTTAAAGCATTTGGTAAAATAAAACACAGTGGTTGTCATAGGCCTTCAGTATCTTGATTCTCATTGGCTGATTTGTATCCAGACTCTTTGGCGATAGTCAGTTCCTTCATCTCTGAATATGAATGTATTTTACATAAGCACCTCGTGTGCCTGTAACCTGCTGTCTCATGTCACTTAGCTTGAATAGCTAACAGTTAAAATCATAGAATGTCTTGTAATGTATTTTTAAGCTTATTGAACAGGGATTTTCAACATATTAACTGTCATTTCATTACAGTAAAAGAACGTTTGGCAAACGGTCAGTTTAGGTCTGTGTGTTGTTATTCATTAAGCTATCCTTTTGTTACTTCATTTGATGTGTCATACAAATGCGTTATTTGTTTTATAACCAGAATAAATGTAATCATTGTGCAGTTATCTGCCAGGATGTGTGTTGCGGTTTTCTTATCAGAATTAAACACCGGTTATGAGATTAAGGCCGGGTCAAGGAATAAAAGACACACCTTAATAGCCTTTGTGTCATGTTAAAAGGTGCAGCGGGGTAGCTTTTCTCCTGATTATATACTCTGTGTCATACTAGGTCATTCAAAGCCGCTCTTGTCTGTAATTGACCTTTTTTTATTATGGATAGTGGAGGCATATTTAAAGGTCTTACCTGCTCTGTATACCAATCACTTGAGGCATCAGATATGGCTGTAAATGGCAAAATAAATACTTAGTTGACCAACAATTATGAGATTTTGTCGACCTATTCATAAATTAAATTGAGTTTTTATATGAAAAATCATACAACAGTATCCCTTTGCCTCATAAGTGTCTTGAGAATAAGGCAGTTTGATTTACCTGATCTAGTGTGACACACATATTTAAATGTATTGTTTTTACGACCTTTTATGTCCTATGCATAAATCTAATACCATCAGCTTTCATTTATTTTATTTGGAGGATGTGTCTCTTTGCCCTGTCCTTCTGAGGACATTTATTACCTTTTTATAGAAGTACAACATCTCTCTTGCACACACACACACATACACACACACACACACACACACACACACACACACCCTTTAGAGGCACATCACAGGCAGAGGATGTATTGATCCTGTGTGCTGCTGCAGGGTCAGCATGTGCACAGTCAGTATTGGACAGGAGATGCCCGGTGACATTCAGCTAAGGTCAACGTAGCAACGAAATATAATCCATCCCCGAACAAAAAGCACTCATCAACGGGCAAACGCAGCAGAGAGGAGTTAGCAGGTCTGCATGTTCCCTTTAGCAGGACTGTTCTGTTCCACACACACATCTTTTTCTATGTTAGCAGCATTTGATATTGATGCTATAATAAACCGGACATGTGTGGAGTTTCGGGACATCAAAACGATGCATGATTAGCAGAATAACTTGTAATAAATAATACTATAGAAGTGGTTTCTTTGACAGCAACGCCTTCTGGCTGCTACATTTGAGCATTATGTAACTATTGCACATGTTGTAGTCCAGCTACAGATACATCTGTCACTGTTGTAACACTTGGTGTGTGTCGAAAGTACATTTATTTGTCCTGTTGTACCCACTTCCCCTCTGTGCTTTTATCTGTTCTGCTAAAGTGATTTCCTACATATATAAAATACCAAACCAGAGGATGTGTTGCATTTATATTTTAGATGTACAAATTAAGATCCAAATACAGGAGTTGTACTCAAAAAGTGAGACTGACTTCAACTGCAACATGTGTTTGAGCTGCATTGCATTCTGGTACATCGATGCTGCATTGTAGAATATGGTATTTGTTTGTACTGTCTCTTGACTGATGCAACCTTTCATTTCAAGTGGATGTTTTAGGCCGCTGAAATATTTTCTGTTGACAAACTCTGTGGCTAGCTTACATGTGTTTTATGTAAACAACATTTTCATATACTTAAAAAAGGTACATGTGTAACTGTTAAATAGGTGTAACTATTCATGACAGAGTGTGAAAGAGAGTGATAGTCTTTATTAAGTGTGGTAATCGCTCTTTTTAACAATTACACTTTATTTTATGCTATATTTTTCAATGATTTCAAAAAATAAAGAAAATGGAGAAAGAGCAAAAACAAATAAGAATAATCTGAGTCTGTTTTATCTCAGTAACAGAAAATGTATTAGTGGACATCTGGATAAATATACAAGTACATGTGATCCACAGATAATTAGCAAGTATATATATACATAAATATATATATATATAGTATATGGATCCACAGATAATTAGCGTAACATGATGTAAGTCACACACACAGCAAATATCAATACATATGCCATTTTCACAAACTAACTCCAATTTAATTTTTCTTTTTCTCTCTCCCTGTACTACACACACACACACACACACACACGCATCATGTGGAATAGATCCTTGTTCACAGTGTTTCCGTTATATAATGGCTGGAGCTGTTTATATCTGGAGACCAAACAATGGACCCGGATTGTTAGCTTGTTTTGTTTTTTTATACCAATCTCTGCTCATCAGCTGACTGGATGACCAAGATTATAATAGCTTGAGTTTTCATTCACTTCACTCAGTGTGGTTCCCCTCGTCACACTAGGATACAACAATCCACTGTGCTAGTTACTGAGGAACCAATTTCTTCTCAGCTCTTCAGTGAATGAACTCGGTGAACTCTTAACTTTTTTAGTTTTTACCTCTGTACCTGGAGGATTGTCTTAAATCAACACTCCAGGTACAGTGCAGTACAAATACTGCTTTACTGTACTTTACATGATCCCCTTTTCCGGCATATTTTGACATCTAAAGAAAAGAGGACATAGTTCACAGTTGGTTTTGTGTCTGATGACTCTGCTGTCCACATGAAATTATTTGGCTTTGCAGGCTAAAGAGTTTATTACACTTTTCAAACAAGTCGTCCTCGGCTTTCTTGTCCTTCTTGTACAGCTTCGGATCTTCAGTGTTAAAAGTTAAATGTCTCGTTTATTCACATTCGAGATTCATTAAAAAGTTATGTCAGATTCTTCTTGGAGACGTGATGTTTTTTTTCTTCTGTTGACACAAAAACAAATTCTACAATACATAATAGAGGGACTACAGGCTATTTAAAGCTAACCACAAATAGCACCATGAAACATTGCAGCCCATCATG